GTCAACAAGTGATATCGCTATCTAATATGTTACACTGTTATCTCTGGATAAAGTTATCCTATTCATGTATATGTTAACTAGGCTATTCCCTAGTACATATTGTACCTATTAAGTTTATTTGTTTACTTGGTGGTGGAGTACAGATGTGCAAGAGGCTTTGAATGAAAAGAAGAAAGCATTTAAGGAGTGGCAGGGTGTTGATGAGAATGATAAAGATTTGAAAGAGAATAAAAGAGACGTATATAAGCAGTGTAAACGATGTGCAAAAAAAGCCATCGCAACTGCTAGGGCACAGGCACAGGTTAAAATCTACGAAGGCCTGAACAGCCCAGCGGGACAAAAACACCTGTTCCGTATAGCAAGAGAGAGAGAAAGGAGTGCAAGGGATATAAACCACATCAAGTGTATAAAAGACGATGAAGGAAAAGTACTAATGGATGATGATGATATTAAACAGCGTTGGAAGGAATATTTTGAAAAACTGATGAACGAGGAGAATATTTGGAGTGGAGTGTTGGAAGAAGTGCCGGTTAATATTGGTATGGTGAAAGAGATAAGCGTGGAAGAAGTAAAGAAAGCGGTGCAAGGTATGAAGAATGGAAAAGCTGTTGGGCCGGATGGAATACCAGTGGAAGTATGGAAACTCTTAAAGGCGGATGGATGGGTGTGGCTGACTCTATTCTTCAACAAGTTGTTACAGGAAGAGGTGATCCCAGATGAATGGTGTGCTCGTTCACTAGTGCCTATATTTAAAAACAAAGGGGATGTGCAGATCTGTAACAATTATAGAGGAATAAAGCTCATGTCACACAGTATGAAAGCCTGGGAAAGAGTGGTGGACGGAAGAATAAGAGAAGAGAGTGAGGTAACTCGGAACCAATTTGGTTTTATGCCAGGACGGGGTACTACGGATGCCATCTTTGCTATTCGCCAACTGTGCGAGAAATATAGGCGTGTGCACAAAAACCTGCACATGGTGTTCGTAGACCTTGAAAAAGCATATGATAGGGTTCCGAGGAGACTTTTGTGGTGGGCCTTGAAAGTGAAAGGAGTGCCTGGGAAATACCTGCAGCTTATTCGTGCTATGTATTGCCAAGCC